TCGTTCTCCTCCTCCTCCTCCTTCTCCTCCTCCTCCTCCTCGTCCTCCTCCTCCTTTTCCTCCTCCTCCTCCTCCTCCTCCTCCTCCTCCTCCTACTCCTCCGCCTTCTCTCTCCCCCAAATTTGCCCGAATGGCCACGAGTCGCGTTAAACTTACTAGGAGGTATCCAGATTGTCGCAACGCGACGACAGGAGCACGTTAGCGTGCGACGCTTGCGTGCTGTCAATACCCTCGAAGGCTGACGTAACTGAACTGAGCGCTAGCTTCCCCCCTGGACTCCCGAGAACCCACTACAAGAGAGGAGCCCAGCAAAACCACCCGAATATGGCCCCAGGAAAGCTCCGAGAGCCCCAAGCAGGAGGGGACGGAGAAGAGAAGGCGGAAGAGAAGGAGGACCGCGACGACGACGACAGCGACGGCGACAAGGCAGTCCTCGACACATAGGGCAGGAGGGCTAGCAGCAGCGGCCGAGCCGCCATCAGACAGCAACGAGGTGCCACACGGAGAACAAATCGTGCGTGTGATTCACAGACAGCGGCCGGCAATGAACACGATCTAGCGCTACATACAGCTGCGGCGCGTCGCCATCACAACCAACACATGGCCACACGAACGAAGGACGAGAGCTTGAGCCCTTTTCGCCGAAGGAGCATTGCCCCGTGGAAAGACCCAAAACGAGGAGCCACCCAAAGTGGAGAGCCCAAACTCGAATAACACACACACCGTGCAAAGCTAAGTTTGCCCTTAACCCTCGTACCATCTGTACGTTGCCTCGTTTGGAGAAAGAGGGGAAGCAAACGGGGATGCACATCCCACCAGCCCTGTAGGGCGTAGGTGGTTTAAGGCGGTGTCTCGTCCCATGCTTCCTCTTCGGGGAAGGGCGTCCCCCTTCCCACGAACGCCAACTTGTGATTAACAAAAAACACGCGGGGCGCGCGATTAAAAATAACGCCCCTCTGTTCGGGCGAATCGCGGGGTGGGGGGGGGCGCCCGCCAAATGGAAGCGCACGGCGGCGGCACTCGTGATTAGCGCGGAAACCCGGCCGACAGCAGGGGGTGGCAGGCGCGAGGCAGGCGGCGCCGCTTCATCGGAGGGGGACAGCAGCGCCTCCGCTATAGCGGGGCGGATGGGCCAAAACGGCTACAGGCAGAAGGGAAAGAGGGAGCGGGGGAAAGAGGCGCCTCAGCTGGCGGTCAGTACCGACATGGCTACACATTAGAAAAGGCAGAGGAAGGGGGGAGCGGCAGAGGCAGGCGAAAAGGGCTCTTCATGCTCATTCTCTTTCCCCCACCGCTCCATTACAATGTCCGACGACGACGACGACGACGACACCGACGACGACGGCGGCGACGGCGACGGCGACGGCGACGGCGAGGGCAACGGCGGCGGCGACGGCGATGATGACGGTAATGGTAATGTTGACGGCGATGGCGACGGTGGATGCTCCATGGGGGGGGGCGGGGGTGCTGCGCACGCCCGCTGTAGTCGTCGACGACGACGGCGGCGACGACGACGACGACGACGACGACGACGACGAAGGACAACGACGCACTGCGGATGCCCCCGAAAGGGAGTGCTGCGCTGCGACTCCCGCTGTAGTCGACAACGACGACGACGACGACGAGAAGGCGACGACGACGACGACGACGACGACGACGACGACGACGACGACGACGACGACGACGACGACTGCGACGGCGACGGCGAGAGCGACGGCGACGGCGACGGCGGCGGCGACGGCGACGGCGACGGCGATGGCGACGGCGACGGCGACGGCGACGGCGACGGCGACGGCGACGGCTACGGCGACGGCGACGGCGATGGCGACGGCGACGGCGACGACTACCACTGCGGCACGTCAGTTCTCAGCCTGAGAAGGGAAGGGGGAAAAACTTCGCCTCTGATACATATATATATAGAAATTGTGAACCCTATAAAAACTCCTTGGCGAAAGGCAATCGGTTTGAGGCTGCCGTGCCAGGGGGTACACGATCCCCTCGGCGGCGCCGGCGGCGACCCCCTGGCGCGCGTGATTAAATGTTTTGTTCGCGCCCCGTGAGGTCTACTCATCAGCCCCAGGGTGGTAATTTGTTCATCACAAGCTTACAGTATCCGCTCCCCCTGAGTCTGGGCGGGGGGGGGCTGCGGGTCATTAGAGCGTCCAAGAAGGCATCGGCGAGCAGGCAAAATCCAATGATTGTCCGCAGGTTTGGGGCTCCTTCTGGCCTCCTGGGGGAGAGGATAATTGATCGATCGATCGATCGATCGCCTCCAGGACTCTGAAATCCGCTAAGAGGCCTCCAAGACGCCCCAAGAGATCTCCAATAGGCCCCCAAGGCGCCCCAAGCCCCGAAGAGCTGCAAGGAGGCCCCCAGGAGATCCCGAGAGATCTCCAAGAGACCCCGAGAGACATCCCAAGAGACTCCGAGAGGCATCCATGAAGCATCTGGCCCATGGAGACTCCCGATACAGGCAGCTCCCCTGGGCACCGTTCCTGGATGGTGGTGAGGATACGCGAAGCGTTCTGAATTCACTCGATGACGGGATTGCTGTATTCATCTTGCACTCGATCCGCCACGTGCGAGCACACGTGGCAATGGCTGGCTGCTAATGCGCATAGGTCCTTTGCGACGTGCACTCGTCTGGGGAACTACACTGTCAGACCCCGCTTTGGAGTGGCACACTTCCCAGAAGCACCGACGCACTCCCATAAGAATGGCACAAGACCCCTAGGGTAACGCAACACCATTCCCGACACCAACAAAAATCCATCTGGACCCCGGCACCCCAGAGATGGTGGTGCACAGACAATCCCCAGGCAGCAACCATCCTCTCCCTCGCTGGCACGGGCAGAGGCAGACCAGTGGTCATAACCAGCAATCACCCCCAATTAGTACCCGAATGGGAGCCTGCGTCGGAGCCGGTGTCGGTGCCACAGCTGTTGGAGACGGTGTCGGTGCCACAGCTGTTGGAGACGGTGTCGGTGGCACAGCTGTTGGAGACGGCGTCGGTGGCACAGCTGTTGGAGACGGCGTCGGTGGCACAGCTGTTGGAGACGGCGTCAGTGGAACAGCTGTTGGAGACGGCGTCGGTGGCACAGCTGTTGGAGACGGCGTCAGTGGCACAGCTGTTGGAGACGGCGTCGGTGGCACAGCTGTTGGAGACGGTGTCGGTGGCACAGCTGTTGGAGACGGCGTCGGTGGGGGCGGTACTGGCCCAGCGCACCTCCCTGCCACCATATCATCAGTCTCGCCCCATACGTAAAAGTCCCCACAGTTCCTCTTCAGCCAGCACGTACGCCCACGGCTCACGTCCCACGCGTAGCAGCCGCACCCGGACTGGCTGTTCATGCACAGGGTCTTGCACTGCTCGAAAGATACGTGGGGGTGCTTGCCTACAGTGGGCCCGAGAATATCGCCCCAGACGTCATGCCCGGCGACCGCGGTGCAGTGCCGTTCTTCCTGCATGCCAACAACTGAATTCCACGACGGCGACGCCGCGCCGATGCCGCGCAGGCCAAAGAACCCGACGCCGAGGGCCGAGCAGGCGGCAGACGCAAGGACTACACATCTCCACCGCGGCCAGCAGCTGGCTCCAACAGACTGCCCCTGCAAGAGGAGCGCCTGGCGCTCGTCTGCAGGGCAGCCACGTGTGAGCCCTGCCCCCCCCCCCCCCCTGCAGCCCCTCCGCTCGCGCCCCCCTGGCAGCTCCCGAGCACCTCCTCGGCTAGAGGCGAGGGCGGGCGCACCAGGGGTGCTCGAGGAGTCCGCGGGCCGCGGCGGAGCTGCGGGCACGCACAGCAAGGCAGGGGGAGAAGAGGGCGGCCGCGGAGGAGGCAAGCGGGAGGATGCCTCGGGCGTCGAGAGCCTTCGCCAGGAGCAGCGCGCAGGCGGCTGCAGGCACCAGAGGGGCTGGTGCAGCCACACAGGCGTGCCCCTGCCGATCCAGGCCGAGGGGCAGCACGTCCGAGGCAGGGCTCACGTGTGGCTGCCCGTCTGCGGGGCCCTCGGCCTGCTGCCAGTCCAGCTCCAGAGCCGCAGCCCCCGCAGGGCGGGTCATCGGCTGCGGTGGGCCCGACATGGCGTCGGCGCGCCCACCCCGTGCGCCTCAGGGGGCGGCCCGCAGTCACGCCGCCGCCCGAGCCACAGCGGCTGGAGAAGGCTTCGCGCTGCCACTCGCGCCGCGCAACACACGTCATCTGCCCACACGTCGTGTACGTGTCCCAAAAACTGTGCTTGCACCTAGGGGTTCTTACTTGTCTTACTAAGTGATTGGATAGGTGCGTCGAGGTTTCGCCGCCCGTTGCCGCCTGGCTGCCGCCCACTTGGATAGGTCCGTCGAGGTTTCGCCGCGTCGCCGCCCGTTGCCGCCTCGTTGCCGCCCACCGCGTTTGGGGGTCGGTCGAGGTTGCACCACATAGCTTGCACCACGTAGCGTGCGTGCACCACGCAGCTTACATCACATAGCTTGCACCAAGTAGATTTCACCACATAGCTTACACATCCACAATGCAAACACTGTCTGCTTGAGGTCCACGCTGGCTAACATTGTGTGCATCTGTACGTCGCCCGTCAGACACAGTGCCAGCATGTATGTGCAACCTGGCAAACGAAGCCCCCTACATACATTGACGATGTGGCACGCCCAATCTAAAGTTAGCCTGTGCTGCTCGTCACGTTATGCACGGGGTCCCTCCAGGCCTCTTCTGTTATTTTCGTATGTCCTTGGCCGACTCTGTACGGTAGACCACATCACGACATAGCATATCGCATAGCATGGTTCTGCATACAACAGCTTACTGTACCTTTGCGCAGAACATCACAGCAAAGTGGACCTTTGCTCGGAACAACATACGTAGCACAGCATGTCATAGCAAAGCCTAGCTTGCCACATAACGGCGGTCCATGACATACATTGAAGACCACTGAATCGTCGATTCATTACGAAGGAACTCCTGATCGGGGTCGCTGAATTCCATTCCGCAGACCCGCGCTACATATTGGCGGCTGGCGGCCACCAGACCGCTCGAATGCCAAGTTGGGGTACGTATCCATGTTTTGATCGAACAGGCTCAGGGTTAGATATCAAAGTACGGAGCATGTGGCACATTACAAGAGGGGGGAGAAAAAGTGTGGCTTGGCAAGACGGCCCTGCGAGCTAACCATGGCTAGTTGCCACGTGCCCGTCCCACCTCTTCCAGCTGAACTGTCTTGATCGAAAGCCAGCTACGCCGCACAGGAAAACCCAACAGGAAAAATGCTAAATCCGAACACATTTTGATAGACGGTGTGTCACTCAGCCGGCCGTGGACACGAGCTATATGAAAGGATCAGACGCTTCAGCATGAAGTAGTAAGGTTAAACAGTGCACTTGCGCTGTGCATGTGAAAAGCGGGCGGCGTGTATGAGCGAGAGCGCGTGCGTGTACAAGTTCGTGCGCGTGTGCGTCTGCGTGTGAGCCATGCTTGTGCGCATGCGCCTGCACGTGCACGCGTGTGCGCGTGAGTGTTTTCGTGGAAGGTCGCTTGCGTGCACGTGTGCCTCGAACACGGTGTCGAAAACGACAGGAAGGAGACGGGGAGAGCAAAAGCAACAACCCTGTCCAAGCGAAGTGCCGAACCAAGACGCGACGAAACTGGGCGGGGACCGAGCATCAGATACATGGTAGTAAAGTTCACGCGCCGCACAAAAGACGGCCCTGCTCATTTCCGCGCGATGTTCTCCATGTTCGCGGCATGCGTGCCAGGCCGTCCCAGGAGAGGTGCAGAGGGGGCCAGTCCACAAGAATCCGTCCACAAGAAACCCAACCCTGAGACCCCAGGACGTCCATTGATTTTTGGTGCGAGAACGTCACGCTTTCCATTGCAAAACCAAAACCATCGAAACCCAAAAAACCCAGGGCACCCTGGAGGAAAGCAGGGTGCTTCCTGGCATGGGCCCCCGCTGTGCCGCACGAAATCTCGGAAGAGGTATTCGGATGGGCCTGGAGCACAGCGGCAGCGGTCCGTACAAATCCCTCTGCAGTGGGCTCTTTCTTGGCTCGCTGGGCCGACGACCTGTATGTAGCTCCTGCCATTGAGGCGGAGCGGAGGCGACTGCCAAGCGGGTGGTTCCTGGTGAGGCCCCTCGATCATGCTCCCCTGGCGACCCTTCTCTGGGAAAGCAGGAGGCGGGCCAACGTTCTGGCCATGCTGGAGCGGTCCGCAAGGGACAGGACGCAGCCAGCATTTGCTCCCAATGCTACCCACACCATCCCGCACCTCCGCGCTCCCCTGCGGCCTTCGCCTGGGACAGGCCGCGCCATCCACTGCAGGAGCCCCACGAGCACAGAGGGAGAAGGAGACGGACGACGAGGAGAGGGAAGAGTTGGAAGGGAGAGGAGGAGGAGGAGGAGCTGAAGCAGGAGAGCGACGAAGATGTGCGAATGTCGATGCTGGGCATGCGGTGGGGTGGAAGAGACCGCCCGGGCCATCCGCAGATCTCCGCTCCGGCAGGCCCCGTGCGCGGCGGATGGTGCAGGCGACGCCCCTGGCGCTGCAGGAGCTCCTGCGGAAGCCCTGGGGAGCGAGGCCCTGGAGCAGGGCTCGACCAAAACGGTGTGCTCGCTTTCGTGTTGTCTCCGCTCTCTCCCGCCCTGTCTCCCATCCGCCCTTGCTGCGGGACGAAGTCAGAACGGAGGCGGCCAGCGAGATCGCGAAAGCACCGCGCAGGCCGAGCCCTGCCCTGGAAAGCCCGGTCGACATCCCCTGCGAAGCACACGCCTCCCTGGCTGCAGACCGAGTGCCAGACGTGGAGGTGCTCCGCCGGTGCTCCCGCTGCCTCCTCCGCCTGCGTCCGGGGGAGGCCAAGAAGAGAACGATGCCAGCACTCCCAGGACCTCCCCTCGGGCGCGTTCAGACCAGGACCCCCGAGGCGAAGCCAGAACCGTGGCGACGAGAGCCCCCAGGAGCCCCAGGAGGGCGAGAGCGGGCGGATGGTGCCAGCATCGATGCGTTCCTCCTCTGACCAGCCCTCCCGCTGCCTCCTCCGCCCGCGCCTGCCTTCGCCAAGGCCGATGGCCGCAGAGCTCGGCGGCACGCAAGTGTGACCCTGGGCGAGAGTGACCTTTGGGGAGCGGCTTGTCTTTCGCGGCATGGCATGCGGCGGTAGCCGCCTGTGTGCCGGGGCGTGGCCCCCCTCCCCTCCCCGTGCCTCCCGAAAGCAGCGCACCAGAGGTCACTGCGGGGGAAGCCCGAAGGTACCGAGGCCGCTGCTCCCCGGAGCTCTCCGAGGGCGCAGTCTGACCAGGGCTTCGAGGCAGGTCCGGCCAGCCGTGGCGGCGAGGGCCTCCCCGGGAGGCCGCAGGCGAGCGAGAGCGGGGCAAAAGGGGGGTGCGGTAGCGGTACCTCTCCTCCTTCTCTGACCGAAGGCCGCGCACCCAGGGGCCACTGCGGCGGAAGGGCCACTCTTGCGTGCCGCCGCAGGGTCAGAAGCCTCCCAGATGGGGTCGGAGAAGGTGGG